TTTTATAGGTTTTTTTAATGCCTCAGGGCAAAAAAAAAAAAAAAAAACCTTTTTTGCCTCAGGATACAGAAACGAATGGGAAGCTTTATAAGAATCTGCAAGTACTGCAACTGGAATACCAAGAAAACCAGACATTTTTAGAGGGAAAAGTAAAAAAATCAAAATGAAAAAATCAAAAATTTATTTAGGTAAGAGATAACATTATAAGTTATTTTATTAGTGTGGCGTACATATTGTTTCCGATTTATTAATTTTGGAGGAATTGCAGACATGATAAAAGGTTTAATTGCAGAATTAAAGTAAAAAAAAAATTTCATCTCACCTTTATTAGGCTGCCCTGGCAGATTCAAATTTTTAAGTCGATAATTACTGTGTATGTATATTCTAAAAGTTTCTTTGAAATCTAATCTGATGAACAATATAATATGCAGAAGCATATGCTAAATACGATAAGCATATCGATATCGATATCGGCTGAATAACATAATATACTAACTTTCACAATTATATCTCAATGAATTTTGAAGTTAATAAAGCTTAACGTTAAGACTTCAGTTCTGATTCGCTTTTAAATCATTATAATATCTTCAAAATTCATCGAGATATTATCTTTTTTTTAATTTGTCTGTTTTTTATTGATGGCGCATGTTGATCAGCCGATCAGTCCTCTTATAATGTGATCGCTACTCTATTAACATCGTAGATATTTGTCTCTTAGAGCGTTCTCAAGCGCCTTAATCAATGGGGCAAAAAGCAAGGATTGGACCCGGGTAAAAAATTGCGGCGAAATATAATTTATATTAAATTATCTAGATAATCCGGGCAACGATTTTCTCAACGAGTCCAAGTATCAGTGAATAAATTTTATTATTTAGTTTATTAAAGAGAATGATGGGTATTTTCCGATAAAAATTGAAGCATTACCAGAAGGCACTTCTTGCCATGTGCATACCCCCGTTTATCAAATTACTGCTGAAAATGATTATGCACCGTTAATTACATTTTTAGAAACTATATTGAGTATGATTTGGGTAATCTATATTGATCATACACATATCTGATATAGTATTTAATTGTTATGTAGATATAGCTCACAATATTTATTTTTTTATTTGTAACAAAGTACCCATCTGCTGTTGCAACACTTTCACGGCGTGCGCGTGATATCATTGAAAAAGCATACTCTGATACTGTTGATGAAGAGGATTATGGGTCATTGGAAAGGTAAACATTACATGTTCAAAATATTTACTCATTTCTTAGTGCTCGTTACAACTACATCTGAATAATTTATCTTAAAAATTTTAAAGTCGGTTATATGAATGTGGTTTTCGCGGTTGTACTAGCCTTGAACAATCTATAATTGGTGGATCTGCACATTTGGTTTGTAGTAACCTATAATTAATTCCAAATTAAACTATATAATAATCTAATTATTACATGTATTTACTGTATGATATATAAAAAGATTAATTTCACCAGATCTGCTACCATGAGTGCTTGTTACTATGTTCAGTTTAAACTCAATAATGGCAAACCTATTGGGATTTCCATTCCTGGCACTGAACATTCCGTTATGACCGCGCATAAATCTGAAAGAGCATGTTGATTTTATATAATTTTTCTAAAAAAAAAAATCACCTCACATTTGATCGTTTTAAATAATTCATTCTCGATATTTAGGATGCTATTTTACGTATCATTGACCGTTTCGGCTCTGGTACTTTTGCTTGCGTATTGGACTCTTTTGATTATGCAAATGCGTTGAATAATATTTTACCATCGATTGCTACTCAAAAACTCGAAAAGGGTGGTTTCATGGTTCTTAGACCTGATAGCGGTGATCCAGTAGAAGTAGCTTTAATGGCTCTCAGGTACATTACATCGACATATTTATAATTTAAAGTAACAATTTATCATTAATTTTTTTAAATATATATATATTCATGGTTTTCAGGGCTGCTGAAAAAGTGTTTGGATGTGATACAAATAAAAAAGGCTACAAAATTCTTCGAGGATGTTCTGTTGTTCAAGGTGACAGTGTTACTATTGAAAATATGAAGAACATTCTGAATGCTGTTAAGGGTGCTGGATATTCGGTACAAAATATAATTCTTGGGATGGGCACTGGTCTCTTGCAAAAAGTTAATCGTGATACTATGAGCTTTGCTACTAAATTATGTCACATCACTTATGCTGATGGAACACCAAGGTTTGTTTTTAAACCCTAATTGTATTCTTTATTATTATATCATTTAATGTAATTAGTCATTATGCGTTTTAAAATATAGAGATATCATGAAAATTCCTAAGACTGAGTCCATTAAAACCAGTTTACCCGGTGAATTCGTTGTTAAGAAAAATAAACATGGTGTAAGTTAACGCTCTATTACAATTCATTCATCTAGATTTTTTAATTTTAAAATTTTTATTGATTATGCAGGTGCCAATTGTTTATCCAAAAGAAATTTGTGCTGAAAATGATCCTGAAAATCTATTACGTGTAGTATACGATCATGGTAAAGTATCAGAATGGGATGATTTTGATACTATCCGAAAACGTGTAGCCAAAGAATGGCCACTTTTACCACGTAACTATGATAATATTAGTTCAGAGCTTAAGTCGAAAATTTTAAAGTGTACTCAAGAGATCAAAAATATTGTAAGAAGTAATCAATTGTAAAAGCGATAAAAATTTCATAGGTGAATTCGATTGTCTTTGGAGAAATATCATCAAATCTGAGCAGTTAAATTTATTATAAATCATATATTAAAAATGGGTAATATGCCCTACGAACAACATACTATAGATTGTAACTATTTTTATGTCACTATCTCGATGAATTATACTGTTTCGCTAAAAAATAAACATTTTTTCCGCAGGAACATTAAAATAAATCGGTAATTTGAGGTTCTATTGATTACATTACACATAACATTCGAGGTCTAACTGGCCGGGTCAAAATTGAAAATTTTTCAAAACGTGCGTTATCAACCGGGGTAAATTCGCCACCCAAATTTTTTTCAGATCATGTAAAAGTATTATTCGAAGCGAACGAAACTCTAATTTAAATTAGAGTCCTGTTCGTTCCATATAATATTTTCACATGATCTGAAAAAAATTTGGGTGGTGAATTTACCCTGGTATACGTATCATAGTAAAATTGTGGGCCAGAAATGCCATAACATAGTAAAGTGCGGGCCGAACTTTTTAAAAACATAATTTGGGGCCGTGCGAAAAATTATTATTTTATCAGGTCTTTATATAATAAAATAAATTCGTAATACTTTATGATCATAAAAGTTCTTTAGGTCGATTATTGACTCAGTCTGTAGTGTCGTCCTTGAAAACGGCGAGTCAGTCGCTCAATCTTTAAGTCTTCAGTGTAACGTACTAAGATAACTTATCGAAAGAAGGCGTAGTGATTCGGCAAGGGAATTCCAAGGCTTCGGTTATCGCTGGTGTCACGTTACTTCTTTATTATCACAAAGGTTCGTTGAGTTTCTTTAACTTCCTTAATCTACTTATCCTCTCTTTTGGGATAATCAATAATAGATTCTCAGCAAGTTCTCTTTTACTCAAGAACAACGATTCGGGTTTACTCTTTTATTACAGAGTAACGTAATACACAAGGAGTACCTAAATTTGAAATTATAATAACTATAATTACTAGTTGAAAATTGAAAATTTGCATCAAATCATCAAACATTTTGCATACTATTCAGTAAATAT